TTGTTTATAACAACAAGAGCTTTTACTAAAAACAAGATAGAAGAAATACTGGATTCATTAGTTCATACATTAAACTTCCATAACATAAGCATGATTTTAATATATATATATACAGCTAAGCAAAGTAAGATAAAATTCAAGATACAAGAACACAATATTTATTTATTCTGAACACTGAAGAAACAGTTCCTCAAATTAAAATTATTAAAACAAAACAGAAAACATTTTTTTTCTTCTGAGATTCAACTCCCAGTATGTAAATGATTCATCAGATGTAAACATCAACCTTTTTAAAACTATACCCGATAAAGAAATTGTCGTTTATAGAAAGAAATAAATGTTCTATAATTGGTTAACCTGCTTCTGTTGTGAGGTGAATTTTGTAAAATGGAAGTCTAGATAAGAAACACATTATAAACATAAATGTTCAGAAGTCCACTTTCAGATACAGTATTAAACAATAGTGGTATTTTAACTGACAGAAACATTAAAAACATAAATATTCAGAGGTCCACTTTCAGATACAATATTAAACAATAGTGGTATTTTAACTGACAGAAACACATTAAAAACATAAATGTTCAGAGGTCCACTTTCAGATACAGTATTAAACAATAGTGGTATTTTAACTGACAGAAACATTAAAAACATAAATGTTCAGAGGTCCACTTTCAGATACAGTATTAAACAATGGTGGTATTTTAACTAATAGAAACACATTAAAAACATAAATGTTCAGAAGTCCACTTTCAGATACAATATTAAACAATAGTGGTTTGTTAAGATGATGTTTTGAACAATGAGCAAAAGCTGCAAACCAAATCCAACAAAAATCAGACCTTTAGGGTGGATAACTACTTATACAATGGTTGTCATCATTAGTAGCAATAAAAATAAATTACAGATTATATAAAATGTTTATCTTAGAAAAATCAGTATACTAACAGATTAAGACTTTTTTTTTTAATTTCGTACAAAATTACACCAGGTTTATCTGAGCTAACCGTCCCTAATTTACCAGTGATAGACTAGAAGGAAGGCAGCTAGTCAACACCACCCACTGCCAACTCTTGTACTAATCTTTTACCAATGAACAGTGGGATTGACCGTACATTGTAATATCCCTACAGCTGAAAGGGCGAGCACGTTCAGTGTGAAACGGATTCAAACCTGCAACCCCCCAGATTGAGAGTCGAGAGCCCTAACCACCAGGCCCCTGTCTACGAGATCTGAATTGATATTGTTTTTGATCAAATGCAGAAACCTTGCTTAAGTAGTAACTACTCAATTTTTTTGTTTCTTTAATTGTACAAATCACATGATTACTATTTGCCCAGCAAGGTGGGTTTCTTTTTCTTGGCTTTTTTAGTTCAGGAAAGAGTGATGTTTTTTGGATATTTATGTTTATGTTTTTCTGTGTTTTCAGTCCCAGAAGGGGGTTTTATATTCAGCAAGCTGTAACTGTATTATTATTTTTTGACACAGTTGTTTATATCATTCTTCCATGATGTGACATGCACATCCACATGATCTTACTTGTTTTGATACGTCACGGGAATATGTGACACATCCACATGACCTTATTTGTTTTGATACGTCACGGGAATATGTGACACATCCACATGACCTTACTTGTTTTGATACGTCACGGGAATATGTGACACATCCACATGACCTTACTTGATTTGATACGTCACGGGAATATGTGACACATCCACACGACCTTACTTGTTTTGATACGTCACGGGAATATGTGACACATCCACACGACCTTACTTGTTTTGATACGTCACGGGAATATGTGACACATCCACATGACCTTACTTGTTTTGATACGTCACGGGAATATATAACCTATTAAAATATTGCAACTGTCTTCACTGCAGACCTTGTGATAATAAATGTAAGTAATCAAATTCATTTCTCTTTCTAGTCTGGGAAAAGGTAGGGATTTTTAGCCCTAGTGTGGAAAAAAGTAGGGATTTTCAGCCCTAGTCTGGGAAGAGGTAGGGATTTTTAGCCCTAGTGTGGAAAAAAGTAGGGATTTTCAGCCCTAGTCTGGGAAAAGGTAGGGATTTTCTGCCCTAGTCTGGGAAAAGGTAGGGATTTGCAGCCCTAGTCTGGGAAAAGGTAGGGATTTTCAGCCTTAGTCTGGGAAAAGGTAGGGATTTTTAGCCCTAGTCTGGAAAAAGGTAGGGATTTTCAGCCCTAGTCTGGGAAAAGGTACGGATTTTCTGCCCTAGTCTGGGAAAAGGTACGGATTTTCAGCCCTAGTCCGGGAAAGGATAAGGGTATAGTGGGGTGGGCCAAGTCACTAGAATATGATGCAAATACCTGTATACCAAAGTGAACTGACAGTACGTGTTAGTTTCATGGTAACTGGAAGTACAACTATTTAAAAGAAATAAGCTTTATCACATGCTGTGAACAAGAATCGGATGTTTACGAGGAAGATATGTGGTGGAAACTTCGCAGGTCTACTCAATAATCGTTTTCTCCTTGACATAAAAATAACCAAAAGTCCTCCACTGCTCAAACTCGTTGATGACCAAAAACAAGGGGTAGGTGAGGATTGTAACCCTAGTATTTGCAGCCCCTGCACCAACAGTTCATCATAAACAGTCCAGTCATATCCTAAGCGTATTAAAGTTCCAATTAATCTTGTTCAATAACCAGGCATACCATCCTCCCATGAAACATCTTAATCTATTTTACTACAAAAGAGAGTAATCTTATCTCGTGAAGAAACGGTTCCCAGATGACAAAAATTAAAATAGCTAGAAAACAGTTGAACCAATAACAATTAAGAAGTATTTATTCGAAGTACCTGAAAAAAAAACCTCTCTGAATTTCAACACATTTTACATTTATTGTCATGTGTTGTTGAATTACACTAACACACCTTATAAGGACTAGAAAGCTAGCAACATCTTTTGTACTGTAGATGATAAGCCGAAAGCTCTATTAACCAACAAGAAGGCTAGGACAACAGAGAAAATTTTGGATTTTGGTCATTTCAGATTATATATAATCCATATTCAACAATCTGATGTGAAAATAATTAAGTTGTAAGTTTATTTCAGCAATCAAAATTGAAAAATATAATAAAACTAGCCGAATGCCCATCGTACGATGGAAAATTACAAAATTTTCTTCTCAAAATTATAACTAAATAAATGTTGTATGAACATTTTTCTAAAATTTAGTTATAACCTACTATTTCTAGTATTTCAGGAAAACATTTTTTATACATATTTGATTATCTCCTTTTAAGTATTCCTTGATTAGCATTTTGACTTCTGTACACTTTGAATGTTCTTCTTGATAAATCCTTATAGATTAAAACATGTGAAAAAACTGATTATTAAAGACATATTCCTACTTGGTGAACTGTATGACCAACAAATTATTAATTGTGATGGTAAAGGCAGTGAATTTTATTATGAATTTCTGGGTCATCTCTGTGGACTGTCTTCCTGGTATTGAATTTGTTAGCCTGCTGAGCTGAAGAAGCACGCTTTAATTTCGACATTTTCAAAACTGAAATGTGTTGCTGGTTATTATAGATTTGTAACCAACGGTTTGATTTGGACAAAATTTGGTTGAATCAATGTGTCTCCTTGACAACCAAGCAAATGTAATGGGGAATTTCAGCCAATAATTATGATTTTTGTGCACCAGTAATACCAAGTGTGGGGGCTCACCCGATTCGATGTTATTACTCATCACGATCTCTTGCTTGTCACAGTAGAAAGCATCATCACTTTGTGGAAGTTGGGTGTCAATTGGTACCGCAAAGAGCGAGATACTGGTGTGACAGTATATAGTAGATTTTATATAATAGGGAGAGACATAACTAAAAAAAACAGCTAAAAAGCAAGGAAATAATAAGGGCTGGATAAAAAACTTTGAACAATTAAAAGTTACGATTAATAGCAGTTGTCAGCATGATTAAGAGTAGGCCTATAATTGTTGATTAGAAGTGTTTCTTTGGTTAATAACTCTATGTCAAAATTCCTCGAACTTAAAAACATCTTCCTGTACATGCCCGTGAACTCTTAGGCCTCTTCTAAAAAAAAAACAGATCTTCACTATTAAATTCATGTGTATCCAATGTTCATAATCACAAAACAATGACCACCATATCAATTTGGATAATTCTAAATACAGGAAAATCTGACAATCAAACTAAAAAAATAAATATGGTAACCAAAACACAGGGATCAACTATTAATCACAACAGTTCCTATCAGTCAAAAATGTTTTATTCTTCCTATTCTTTTATTCACCCCATAGAAGTTGGTTATGGCATTTTTTTATCTGATCTTTTTGACAAACGGGTGTTTCTGGCAGGAGAAGTTGACTGTTGAATAGCTTGAACTGAAAGAAGTGTGGTTGTAAGATTGCGATGTTTACATTTGGTAAGGATTTTTATATCTAAGATTGTTTTCTTCACTCACTAGTCAGGATTTTCACAGGTTCTAAAGCTCCAAAGGACTAAGATCCCATATTGTCATACTAAGATGATGGCAGTGGATTCATTCATAGGGGATCATAATTTTAAGAAGAAAATCCAGATGGTAGCGAAAATTAGTATTTTATTTTGGATGTTTCAGATTATACATAAACCATCGTTAATGATTTGATGCGGAAACAATTAAGTTGCCGGGTTAATATAACAATTAAGTTGCCGGGTTAATATAACAATTAAAATTGAAAAATATAATAACATGTGATATAAAAAACGGGACTAGGACTAACCGATTAATTCATCAATCCAATGATCTCCCTCAATGCATATCTCAGTTTGACAATAATCATCTTACATCTTTGATAAAGACAATTAATGACAAAAGAAATTGCCCAGCATCAGTTTCTAAGTTACTTGAGGGCTATCTTCACTAGCGATAAACCACAGGGAAAGAAGCTAGTCAACATCACCCACAACCAACTCTTGGGCTACTCTTTTACTAATGAATAGTGGAAATGACCATCACATTATAACTCTCCCATGGCTGAAAGGGCAAGCATCTTTGAAGATTGGATTCGAACTCGTGACCCATAGTTCGAGAGTCAGTTACCCTAACCACCAGGCTATGCCTGAAAAGCCAGCATCAGAATGTGAAACTGAGAAAACTTATGCTGAGTATTAAAAACCTGAAAACTGGCAAGAAATTGGCAAGACTGAATAAATCTTGCCGTGTGTGTGATTGCAAACTCTAAGATGTCTCCACAAAAAAACAGATCTTCACCGTCAAATACGTGCCACCCACATTTACAACTGAGAACACCGATCTCCATATCACCTTGGATAATTTTAAAATTCATCAAACCTGACACAAAATTATTAATTAAAGAAACACTGCTAATTAACATATATAGGCCTACTCTTAACAATACAGCTAGCTCCTATCAACTAAAACTGTTTTAACTGTTCAGTTCTCTTTGCTCATCCCTACGTATTCCTTTGCTTCTTGGTTGTTTTTGTTAGACTTTTTCTCTACTTTTTATAATACATTTTATTACATTTTTCAATTTTAACTGTTACGTTAAACTTACCCTTAATTACTTTCACAGAAAAATCCCTGGAGATGGATTATGTATAATCCAAAATGTCCGAAATAAAACGTATATTTTCACTACAGCCTTGATCTTCTTATGTTAGCTAGTCTTTAACTTTTCCTCAACAGGAAATTAAACTTAGTTTTTCATCACTGGTGATCAATCACCAAAACTTGGTACTAGAACCATAAGTTTTACAGATCAACAACTTGGATCACTGGATGGTGATGCTGTTGTAGAGCGGTCTTCTAATTCTGCCAGCGCAGCTACTAAAAGCTTCTGTAACTGTGGAGGGAGATCATCCTTTTCCTCATCTTCGTAAGACTCAGACTGTCTTTCACGCGTCCTAGGTTGGGTGAGGGGTCCGACAGGCACTTGGCTTTCACTACATACGTGTACAGGTGTAGAGAGAGGAGTCGTCGGGTACGAGCATCTCTTGCTGCTACAACCACTAATGACACTGTTACTTTTAGAGCACTCTCCTACTGTTATAATAAAAAAACAAGACCATTAAAACACGTGATAAAACATCAAGGATTAGTTAAAAGGAAAAAAAAATCATGATTAAGAAAACTGACGGTGATTAAACTTCTTGAAAGTGTTACAGCATTTAGAGACTACAAAAAATACTTATAGAACAGAGATCATACACAGTTTTTAAATATTTAGAACAATAAGAAATTGTAAATATTTTGTATTCTTTAGAACAGAAAACGTAAACTTCTTATAAATTTAGAATTAGGAAAGAAGATGCAAATTTGAACTCTTGTAATGTTAAGACACACCACAAAACTATTTACAAGATTTAAAGCATCATGATGCAACATAGGCAATCTAAAATAGTTAGAGGTCATAACCTACCTGCCCAAGAAAAAACTGCTAGACACCACAACCTACCTGAAGGGTTTAAAACTGCTAGACACCATAACCTTCCTGCACCAGAAAAAAAACTGCTAGACACCATAACCTACCTGAAGGGTTTAAAACAGCTAGACACCGTAACCTACCTGAAGGGTTTAAAACTGCTAGACACAATAACCTTCCTGCACCAGAAAAAACTGCTAGACACCATAACCTACCTGAAAGGTTTAAAACAGCTAGACACCATATACTACTAGCATGATTTAAAACAGATAGACACCATATACTACCAGCATGATTTAACACAGCTAGACACCATATACTACCAGCATGATTTAACACAGCTAGACACCATATACTACCAGCATGATTTAAAACAGATAGACACCATATACTACCAGCATGATTTAAAACAACTAGACACCATATACTACCAGCATGATTTAACACAGCTAGACAACATATACTACCAGCATGATTTAACACAGCTAGACACCATATACTACCAGCATGATTTAACACAGCTAGACACCATATACTACCAGCATGATTTAAAACAACTAGACACCATATACTACCAGCATGATTTAACACAGCTAGACACCATATACTACCAGCATGATTTAAAACAGATAGACACCATATACTACCAGCATGATTTAAAACAGATAGACACCATATACTACCAGTATGATTTAACACAGCTAAACACCATATACTACCAGCATGATTTAACACAGCTAGACACCATATACTACCAGCATGATTTAACACAACTAGACACCATATACTACCAGCATGATTTAAAACAGCTAGACACCATATACTACCAGCATGATTTAAAACAGC